TTCACCATGTTGGCCAGGCTGGTCTCAAACTCCTGACCTCAAGTGATTCACCCAACTCGTCTGCCAAAATGCTGGGATTACAGGCATGTGCCACCAGGCCCAGCCCAGAGTTCTTAAATTGAAACATTTTCAATGAGATGTGTAGAGAGGAGGCCAACTCCTGTCCTCCCTTAATGATAAGTGGTTTGGTGAAATTGAGAAGTGAGGGTTTTTCTGTGATGTGCCATCTGCAATAGAGCGGGAAAACACTGGTCTAATGGTGAAGGGAAGTGGATTCCAGTCTCTGCGTAGTCACTCTCAGTGCTGGCGATGGCCCCCAACACTGTGCCTCAGTCGCCTCATCTGTAAACAGGGCCTACACACCCTTCCTGCATGTCTCTCAGGGCTGATATGAAGAGGAAAAGAGCTGATGTGCACACATACTCGGTACTCACTGTTTGTTGACTAAATGAAGAGTTCAAGACACAGTTCTCTTATTAAAGGTGTGGCTGCTCTGTGACTGGAGGCCATCAGAGTTGATCATCCTCCTTGCTGGCAGCCAGCTTGGCATGTAGAGTGGACCAAGCTCTGCCATCTCTCTGACAGATCTTTCAGGATGATTTTGGTGGTCACTGCAAAAGCAAAGATATGCTAATCGCCTTCATCTGATCACTGTACATTACATGTATGACACCATCACTATGTGCCCCAGAAATATGAATAATTATTATGTGTCAATTAAAACTTTTTTTTTTTTGAGAGAGTCTTGCTCTGTCACCCGGGCTGGAGTGCAGTGGTGCCATCTCAGCTCACTGCATCCACCACCTCCCAGGTTCAAGTGATTCTTCCACCTCAGCCTCCCAAGTAGCTGAGACTACAGGCTACCACCATATCCGGCTAATTTTTGTATTTTTAGTAGGGTTTCACCATATTGGCCAGGCTGGAGTTAAACATTTTTTTAAAACAAAGATAGCCCTGTTCATGGCCTTCCTCAGCTTGCTGGCCACTGGCCTTGAGAAGCCAACAGTTTCTCATATGTTGAAAGAGGAACAGGAACAGCTGCCTATGTTAAGACATCAGGAAGGCCAGCCAGGGAGCTGATGGGAGGCTGGGGATTATGAAGGGTCTAATCTCATCCTCTTCATGTAGACATGAGGGACCAAGGGGCTCTGAGAGGGAAAGGACGTGCTCAGTTAGTGACAGAGACACAACTATGGGTAATCATCACAGATGCCATCACCCAAGACCACACCTCACCCTAAAGCTCCATTCTGAAGCACTTTGTGGAGTAGGTATCTCTTCTCACCATGGCCAAGCTGGGTTTTTGGAAGCTGCCCTAAACCCACCTCAAGCCCAAGAAGGCTTTGGACCCCAAATCCATACAAACACCTGCTGGAACTCACAGTTGGGAGAGATCTCAAGTTCTACCTGCCCAGTCCCCAGGCCACTCTTTTTTTACAGTGGCCTCCAAAGCCTCTGAGCCCAGCTGCCAGCTCCACTCCCAGCTCTGAGGTCCCACCTGGCAGGAGCACACATGCCACTGCTTTACACCAAATCCCCAAAGTGCCCGGCACATTCCAGGCTTCCACTGTCTCCAAGGGACCCTAGGGCCCTGCTAAAGAAGGGTAATGGCAGGAAGCCATAATATATTAAAACAGCAGATTAAAACAAACAAGAGCATTTTGGATCATATTACACATCACTTTCCTCATGTCTGACAACAGAAAAAAATCAAAGGCAGTAAAAAACAATCGCAGACCATAATGGTCTAATAAGTTGGTGATAAAAGTGCTTGTGGGAGCAGCATGGGCGTAGGCAGCTCCGGGTACAGGAATCAAAGCCCTCTTCCAGATCCACAGTGGTGTGCTCAGAGGCATTACTGCTTAAGTGCTCGTTTAAGACTTCCTCCAAAATGCAGCGCACTCACTGGAGAATCATAATTAGGCCCAAACTGTGGGCCATATTCACACATTGTGCATCATTCTTAAAGATGACAGAAAAAAATTACTCAGGGCTATGTGGAGTGGATATTAGATCTTTTACTGTTGTACTCCATGGAAAAAAAAAAACACTTAATAATCTCCTGTCTAGACTCATAGCTTTTTGAATACTGAGCAATATGACTTAGTTTTGTTTTGAAATGGAAAAAGGAAAGCTGAGAAAACAGAAGGCTGTGAACGGTGGAACTCTGGGGTTTGTTTTACAACCTATAGACGTGGTGAAATCCATAAGAAAGTAGAGTGTAAGGGATCTTTCATTCATGAGGCCCGCTGCAAACCAAAGTTAGACCAAAATTCCAGACAAATCTCAGGGCACGTTAGGCAGGAGTACATCGGCCAGATCTGATTAAACATTCGGAACATGTCACCTTTTGAAAACCACTTTCATTTATTTATTTATTCATTCATTCATTTTATTTTATTTATTTTTTGAGACAGGGTCTCACTCTGTTGCCTACCTGGAATGCAGTGGCAGAATCTTGGCTCACTGTAACCTCTGCCTCCTGGGCTCAAGTGATCCTCCCACCTCAGCCTCCCAAGTAGCTGGGACTACAGGTGCAGAACACTGCCCCTGGCTAATTGTTTTTTGTACTGTTTATAGAGACGGGATCTTGCCATGTTGTCCAGACTGGTCTTGAACTCCTGGACTCAAGCAATCTAACCGATTACTCAGCCTCCCAAAGTGGTAGGATTACAGACATAAGCCACCATACTCGGCTGTCACTTAATAGTCTGTATGCTGAAAAAAATGCCTCAAAAATGTGCAGCCGTTTTCCCATGTCTCCTCCCGGTTTCCTCCCCTACCTTCTAAACCCAAGCCCATTTCCAGTCCTACATTTTGTCTCATGAGAAAGAGCTTTCTAGGAATTGAGAAAAAAATCTGCCCATGACTCACGTTCTCCATGCCAGCCTCGGTGCCCAGCTCACTGCTGCCTTTGCCCCCAGGGAAAAGGTTTCTTGGGAGAACTTCATTCAGGTCAGGTCATCGGACCTAAACCTGAATTCAGGTCATTTTCATTTTTAATCTGAACATACCTACTGCTGCCATTTTTTCATCTTCTTCTTAAAACTGATGCCCTACCCCCAAAGTGGTATTTATTTATGTTTTTGTTGTCATTTGGGGGTTTTTTTGTTTTTGTTTTGAAAGGGAGTCTTACTGTGTTGCCCAGGCTGGAGGACAGTGGCGCCATCTCAGCTCACTGCAAACTCCACCTTCCAGATTCAAGCAATTCTCCAGGCCCAGCCTCCTGAATAGCTTAGATTATAGGTGTACACCACCACGACTGGCTAATTTTTTATGTTTTTGGTTGAGACAGGCTTTTGCCATGTTGCCCAGGGTGGTCTTGAACTCCTGAGCTCAAACTATCCACCCGCTCAGACTTCCAAAATGCTAGGATTACAGGCGTGAGCCACCATGCCCAACCTATTTATCTCATTCTATTCACATAGATTTATACATGTGATTTATAGATTTATCTACAAATAAATAGCATATTTTCATGACAACTCTGGGTGGTGAGTGACAGATTGTTATTTTCACTTTACAGATTCTAAAATCTGCACTTTAATAAGAGTCTCACAGCTAGTGAAGGAGGTATTACAAGTCAGTGAGAAATGAATGAATTATTTGAATGTGATTTTGAAAAAAAAAATTGGCTCTCTTGGTGGTATAAACATCTAAATTCTTATCTCACATCATAAAATAAAATAAACTCCTGACATAATACCTGAAAAACACGAAAACCATAAGAAAATGTAGACAAGTATTTATTTAATCCCTGCATTGAAATGTTCCTAAGTATAAAATAACGAAGGAAGTTACAAAGAAAAGGACTAACATATTAGATCACACAAAGACTGTGAACATCTAGATGCTGAAAATTTTAAAGCAAACAATGAACTGAAAAATATTAGCCACATACATGACAGGCAAAAGGTTAATATTCTTACTATACAAGGCATTCATACAAATCCATAAGAAAAATAGAAAAGATTATGAATAGATAATTTACAAAAGAGAAAATACAAATGTTTGGCTAATACACATCAGAAAGCTATTCAGCCACAAAAGGAATCCAAAAAATTTAAAAAGTCACCAGAGATCATTTCCTGCTTATCAAATTAGCAAAAAATAGAAATATTAATAGTACCAGACACTACAAAAGTGAAGTGAGAGAGGAATACAAATTATATTACCTTTCTGGAAGGCAGTTTGGGTAATGTGTATCAAGAACCTTGAAAACACTCATGTTTTCTGATCGAGTAATTCCTTTTTAAGGACTTCATCCTAAAAAGTAATCAGAAACATGGGCTAACATTGATGATAGACTGGACAAGGACAATGTGGCACATACACAACATGGAATGCTATGCAGCCATTAAAAAACGATGAGTTCATGTCCTTTGTAGAGACGTGGATGAAGCTGGAAACATCATTCTCAGCAAACGGACACAAGAACAGAAAATCAAACACCGCATATTCTGACTCATAGGCGGGTGTTGAACAATGAGAACACATGGACACAGGAAGAGGAACATCATGCACTGGGGTCGGTTGGAGGGAGCTAGGGGATGGACAGCAGGGGATGGGGAGGTTGGGAAGGAATAACATGGGGAGAAGTGCAAGATATAGGTGATGGGGGAATGGAGGCAGGAAGCCATCTTGCCATGTGTGTCCCTATGCAACAATCCTGCATGATCTGCACATGTACCCCAGAACCTAAAGTACGAAAAAAAAAAAAAAGAAAGAAAGAAATGTGGGTTAAGCTATTTGTAAAAGATATTCCTTAGAGAGTGAGTTATGCCAGCAAAATATGGAAACAATGTCCCCCACCAGGAGAGTGGATGAAATTATAGTGCATCTACATAATGAAATATTGTAAAGACACTAACGTCGAAAAACAATATTAGTGGCAAGGAAAAATACCTGTGCAATAGTGTTAAATGACAAATGCTGCTGCAAAATGGTCTGTAGTATCTCAAATACAGAAATGTACGCCTAGGAAAAGAGCTGTAAAGTAGAATCAATTGTGTTTACCAGTGAGCTGAATAACGATACATACCTTAAAAAACATTTTTCTAATTTTTTACAATAACAGGTATTTATTTTATAATCAGAAAAATACAATCAAGAAAACCCTCTTTTTATTTTTTCATACTGACACACCATTTATATTTTTTAATTTCTTTTTATTTTGAAATATTTAACTAACACAGCAGGGCGGGGTTGCTCATGCCTGTAATCCCAGCACTTTGGGAGGCCAAGGCAGGTAGATCACAAGGTCAGGAGGTTAAGAACAGCCTGGCCAATATGGTGACACCCTGTTTCTACTAAAAATACAAAAATTAGCCAGGCGTGGCAGCACATGCCCGTAGTCCCAGCTCCTCAGGAGGCTGAGGCAGGAGAATCACTTGAACTCAGGAGGTGGAGGTTGCAGTGAGCCAAGATCGCACTACTGCACTCCAGACTGGGCAACAGAGTGAGACTCTGTCTCAGGAAAAAAAAAAAATTAACGAAGATTGAATATATTCAAGGTGTACAATGAGATGATTTGATATATGTATACATTGTATAATGATAACCCCCATCTAATTAATTTAACACATCCATTACCATCCATGCTGTCCATTAGATTTCCAGCACTTGGTCATCTTATAATGGAAAGGTTGAACCCTTTGACCAACATCTTCCTGTTTTCTCCAGCCCCCACTCCCTGGCAACTGCTGCTCTAAGCTCTGCCTCAATGTGTTTAACTTTTTAGATTCCACATATGTGTGAGATCAAACAGTATTTGTCCTTCCATATCTGGCTTATTTCACAATCTGGCACAATGACCTCTGGGTTCACCCATGTTGCTGCAAACAAGCTTTTGTGTTTTTAATGGAAAAGTCTCAAAAAGGTAAACATCATAATGGAACTCCACATCTGGTCACATGAATCCATAACCACTGTATTTTCTGCCCTGTGAACTTTTATTTTACAGTAAGGACAAAACATACAACTACAAAACCCACAGTACTTTAAAATCACTTCTGAATTGGTCAGTATACATAATTGCAATTACATAGTTATTAGTAATCAGTCCTAATTAGTGTTTCTGTGTTTAGCTTTGTCAATTTAATATGATTTAATCTTTAAGTGCCCATGTGTCAGCATAGTCAACATGCATATCCCATTGACAGTGTGGCAATCATTGCTATGTGTTCACCAAACAATTCCTCTTCACCCTGTGCTGATAGCAAGACTACATTTCCCAGACTCCCTTGTAGTTAGATGTGGCCATGTGACTGGGTTCTGACTCCTAGAATGTGGGTAGAAGTAATGTTGCCTCCAGACCTCCGAATCTGTCTCCTGAAGCCTCCCCTGCAATCCTCTGTTCTCCCTGTCTTCCCTCATGGATCTACCAAATACAGGGAGGAAATGGTAGAGCCACTAAACACAGAAGCCTAGGACCCTGAGTGATGGCATACAGAAACCCCTCTCCCCTACAGATCCACATTGAGTTGCAATGAGTGTAAAAAATAAACTTTTATCGTACTAGGCCACCAAGATTTGTGGTTATTTGTTAAAGTAACCTACCCTTCCCAAAGTTGTCCTACCCTAAGCCCAAAGACTTAGCTTCTATCCCATTGTCTTGACAGGTCATAGTGCTTAACCAATTTCCTCTCTTGGAGATTTTCATTGTTTCTAGATAATGCCATGATTATCTTGCAAAAAATTACGGTTTTTCATTTGCTCCTTTTGGCTTATGTTTATGGAGTATATTCCCCAAAGTGGTATTACCAATGCATTAGCAGGGAATAATGTTCACAGTTGTCATTATGCTATTACCAGACTGCTTTCCAGAAACATTGGATGCTGCACTGGGGTGCAGATACAGGGAGGAAATGGATCTATGTATGGAAACACCAATGCATGGTGTTTCCCACACCCCCAGCAACACTGCGTTTTATTTTTAGCTTTGTTTGCTAATGCTGTGGCACCAACTAGAAAGTGCTTCCAAGCTCATTTACACTTGCAATACTTAGTGAGTGTCGTTATATTATAGAGTATGTGGCAGATAATATTTTGATCTGAAACCTCACCCTACTTTTTCACCCTTTGGCCTGACTTCTGATGTAGGCAGCCGCAGGGACATTCACACGCCCGCATTAGTGAAGTGATGACATTGCAAAATGCAGTAAAAGGAATCAAGCTTTCACTTCTGCGTTACAAAATAGGCTTCTGGAAACTCACAGCAGAGACCATAGTTTTAAGAAGGGAAGACGCTTTCTGTATTTCAAAGCCTGGCTTTTGAGCATAAGAAGCCTCAGGCCTGAAAGACTCAGGGCATACAGTTTAGGTATAAATAATAGATTTGGAAGAATATGTGATCAGTCAGAGCCAGACAGTCCTGCCCCAGGCTGGATAAAGTTTCTCTGGACTGAGGCAGTGGAGAGGTAGAGAAGGAAGAAGAGGCTTAAATGGTGGGTCCTGAAGGCAGAAGGCTGCGACAGGAGCCACAAGGGGCAAATGGAAGCTGCATTCCCTACACTGCTCACGTCCATGCAGTGCAGTGGAGAAGGCTGTGCACACCCGCCGCTCATTCAGGAGGGGTTCCTGCACAGGGGCTGTCCTGAGCACTGTGGATACGGCAATGAATGAAAAAGACCAAATCATTGCTTCTGTGGAATGATGTTCTAATGGAGGAAATAGACATAAACAAATAAGTAAATATGTAGGCACGCCTCTCGCAGTGCGCCTCAGATTTTGTCTATTTTACAAATGAAGGTCGGTGGCAGCCCTGCATGGAGCAAGTCTGTTGGGGCCATCTTTCTGATAGCATGTGCTCACTTCATGATTCTGTATCACCTTTTGGCAATTCTTGTCGTATTTTGAACGTTTTCATTATTATTCTTTTATGTTATGATGATCTGTAATCAGCGATCTTTGCTGTCACTACTATAATTGTTTTTGGGTACCACTAACCGCGCCCATAAAAGATGGCAAACTTAACAGATGAATGTTATGTGTTCTGACTATTCGGCCTCCTTATGCCCTGAGACACACAAATATTGAAATTAGGCCAATGAATGGCCCTAGAATGGGCTTTAAGTGTTTAAGTGAAAGGAAAAGTCACACGACTCTCACTTTAAATCAAAAGCCGTGAGTGATTAAACCGTGAGGAAGACACATTGAAAGCCAAGACAGGCTGAAAGCTAAGCCTCTTGTGCCAGTTAGTCAAGTTGAAAATGCAAAGGAAAGGTTTTTGAAAGAAATTAAATATGCCACTCCAGTAAACACACAAATGATAAGAAAGTGGAACAGCCTTATTACTGATGTAGAGAAAGTTGTAGTTGGTCTGGATAGAGGATCCAACCAGCCACAGCAGTCCCTTAAGCCAAAGCCTAATCCAGAACGAGGCCCTAAGTCTCTTCAATTCTATAAACACTGAGAGGGGAAGAGGAGAGTGGAGGGGAGGAGGAGGAGGTGGAGGAGGAGGAGGAAGAGGGAGGAGGAGGAGCAGGAGAAAGAAGAAGAGAAGAAGAGAAAAAGGAAAAAGAAAGAAGAAGGAGGAGGAGGAGAAGGGGAAGAGGAATAAGAAGAAAAGGAAGAAGAAAGAGAGGAAGAGAAGAGGAGTTGGAAGCTAGCAAAGTTTGGTTCAGGAGGTTTAAGGAAAGGAGCCATTTTCATAGGATAAAAATGTCACCACTTAAGGTAAAGCAGCAAGTGGTGATGGAGAAGCTACAGCAAATTATCCAGAAGATCTAACTAAGATTATTGATGAAAGTGGTCACACTAGCAGATTTTCAATGTAAATCAAACACCATTATATTGGAAGAAGATGCATCTAGGGCTTTCATAGCTAGAGAGGAGAAGTCAATGCCTGGCTTCAAAGCTTCAAAGGACAGGCTGACTCTCTTGTTAGTGTCTAATGCAGCTGATGACTTTAAGTTGAAGCCAATGCTCAGTTTCCATTCTGAAAAATCCTATGACCTTTAAGAACAATGCTAAATCTACTCTCCCTGTGTTCCGTAAATGAGACAACAAAGCCTGGCTAATAGCACATCTGCTTATAGCATGGTTTACTGAACATTTTAAGCCCACTGTTGAGACCTACTGCTCAGAAACAAACAAACAAAAAAACCCTTTCAAAATGTTACTATTCATTTACCATGCATCTAAACACCAAAGAGCTCTGATGGAGATATACAAGAAGATTGATATTGTTTTCACGCCTGATAACACAAAATCTATCCTGAAGCTTATGGATCAAGGAGTAATTTTGACCTTCAAGTTGTATTATTTAAGAAATACATTTTATAAGGCTATATAGCTACCATAGTGATTCCTCTGATGGATCTGGGCAATGTGTGTGACTCACTTTATCATGATATTCACTTTAGTGTGGAGGTCTAGAACTAAATCCACAATATCTCTGAGATATGTGTGTATGTGTGTCACACATATATATCACACACAGGCACATATATACACACATATATATAGGCACACACACATGCACATATATACACACATATACACACATATATATATACACACACATATATGTGCATGTGTGTGTGTGTGTGTGTGTGCCTACATGTATATGATGTCAGTGGTGATAAATGCTTTGAAGATAATTAAACAGGACTGAGAGTGATGGATGGTGGCATTATTTTAAATAAGATAGTCAGAGAAAGCCTTTCTGAAAACCTGATATTTGAGCAGTTGAAGTGGAAAGGGAGCCTTGAGCATATTTGGGCACAGAGCATTCCAAGAAGTAGGAAGAATGACTGCAAAGGCTGAGACAGGAGACTGTCTTGGCATTGCCAGACCAGTGTGGCTGGAGCAGGTGAGAGAGAGGGAAAGAGATGGTAGGAGAAAGTCAGAGAGAGAACAGGGAGGCCAAGGCACAGTGGATGGGCTGTCTGGATAGACGGGACGGAGGCAGCCTCAATTAACACAGGGTCTCTCCCCTCCTTTCCCAACGAGGAGTCTGAGTCCCAGAGGGCACTGAGGGGTCAAGGCAATGAGAGTAGGGTGCCCAGGGGGGACAGTGTTTGGATGTGGCTGACGGTCCTCAAGGCCTCCACTGCATCCTCCTGGCTCCGCACCACTAGCCTCTGTGTCCTTTCATTCCCTAACTCTGGGCTTTTCCTAAGCCACAGCAGACAGTTGGCTCTTCCCATACCTTTGCTTGCAGGGTACTGAGGAAAGTTCAGAGGAGAAGCTGGTTTCTGGACCCTGGCATCCCTTTCCCCTGCTTTACATCTGTGATGGTTAATATTGTCAACTTGATTGGATTGAGAGATGCAAAGTACTCTTCCTGGATGTGTCTGGGAGGGTGTTGCCAAAAGAGATTTGGAGTCAGTGAACTGGGAAAGGCAGACCCACCCTCAATCTGGGTGGGCACCAACTAATCAGCTGCCAGTGTGGCTAGAATAAAGCAGGCAGGAGAAGATGCAAGAGCAGACTGGCTGAGTCTTCCAGTCTTCATCTTTCTCCTGTGCCGGACGCTTCCTGCCCTCAAGCATCAGACTCCAAGTTCTTCAGCTTTTGGACTCTTGGACTTACACCAGTGGTTTGCCAGGGGCTCCTGGGCCTTTGGCCACAGACTGAAGGCTGCACCATCAGCTTCCCTTCTTTTGAGGTTTGGGGACTCGGACTGATCACCACTAGCTTCCTTATTCCTTACCTTGCTGTCCCTATCGGGGAGCTTTACCTTGTGATCGTGTGAATCAATTCTCCTTAATAAACTGCCTTCATATATACATATATCCTGTTCGTTCTGTTCCTCTAGAGACCCCTGGCTAATACAGCATCCTTGCTGCTACTTAAGGCCACATCGCTGCTGCCGTGGCCGCCACCAGGTATAGGCACTGCTTTCAAAATCGCCACACCTTCCTTGAGCTCAGGAATTCAGGCTAAAATCAACTGATTATGTGAAGAAGTAACTCGAACATTGAAATATGAATTAAGGCCAGGCATGGTGGCCCATGCATGTAATCCCAACACTTTGGGAGGTCAAGGCAGGAGGATCACTTGAGGCCAGAAATATGAGACCAGCCTGGGCAACATAGCGGGACCCTCTCTACAAAAAAAAAAAAAAAATCAGTCAGGTGTGATAGCACATACCTATAGTCTCAACTGCTTGGGAGGCTGAGGTTGGAGAACCACTTGAATCTAAAAAGTTGAAGCCACAGCAAGCCATACTTGTACCACTGAACTCCAGCCTGGGCAACAGAGTAAGATCCTGACTCTATAAAAAAGAAAAACGAAGGAAGGAAGGAAGGAAGGAAGGAAGGAAGGAAGGAAGGAAGGAAGGAAGGAAGGAAGGAAGGAAGGAAGGAAGGAAGGAAGGAAGGAAAAGAGAAAAAGAAAGAAAAAAGAGAGAGAGAGAGGGAGGGAGGAAGGGAGGAACAGAGGGAGGGAAGAAGGGATCTTCCATGGAAGTTAGTTGCTAAGAAACATAAATCTCTAACTAGGTGAACATGGAAGAGGACTTCTTTCTTTTTAGCAGCTTCTTACCTATCTCTCCACTCTGGCAGGTAAGCACATGCACACACACACACGGACACACACACACGGACACAAGCACACCCCTGCATGCTCCAGAAGAAGGATCGGGAATCTGGCCCCAGCTATCGACAGATGGCCACTCTTGTTCTAAATGAACTGCCGACCAGGGCCTCCTTTTCATCTCAAAGGCCATTTGGCATAACCTCATTCATCTGTACAGACTGTCAAATTCTTTCTCCTGGACTTCTCCTGTGACCTTCATTTTATTCTCTGCTCATGACTGAGTGTGGTGGCTGAACTGGATTGATTAAAGTTTTAGCCCTGTCTTGTTTTAATTCAAGAGCTAAACTGAGCATTTAAATGAACTCGCAGCAGGACTGACTGGCAGGCTTCTGGAATCTGGTTAACATTCCTCCTGAGGCTCTCTCACCCCCCTTATCTCTGCTCTGTGTCCGGGTTGGTTTCTGGGTGAAGTTCACTGTTGGTTAAAAATGACATCATTGGAACAAGTGAGAGTAGATGAATGTTCACTTCCATCCATCCATCTATCATTGGAGACCTTGGGTTCATTAAGCGTGCACCAGGCATGGTTTCCCTCCAGGTCTCATAATTCATCCATGGGTCTAATGAACCAAGATGGAGTTTGTCAGTTTCCCCCCAGTTTGACTAGATGGAACAACAATTCTTTGGTGCTCAGAATCTTTCATCCTATAGAGAGAGTCTGTGAGGAGAAGGGAGAGCAAGTCCCAGCACAGTGACACAATGTCAGTGCACATCCCTCCATCATTTCTACCTACAAACAGTGTCCCACAAGAGCTGGGACACTGAACCCACACCCTTTCTTCTGCCCTGGGTCTCATTCTGATTGCTATTTTTCAGGGAGTCACCTGGCTTCTCCATTTGGTTATCCCACTGTAATTGCCTGTGGTTGCTTTTAAGACAGAGGAAGGAGCATGGGAGGACAAGCTTAGGCATCCATCACTCAGGACTGGATCAGGCATATAACTTCATACCATGCCCCCTATGTAAACTCTCGAGGGTCTGCTCATCCATCCAACCATCCACCCACCCACTCATCTGTCCATCCATCTGTCCATCTGTCTATCCATCCATCCATTCAGATATTTAATTCAGCAAGTATTTATTACTTGCCTTCTTTATTATTGTTATTATTATACTTTAAGTTCTGGGATGAGTGTGCAGAATGTGCAGGTTTGTCACACAGGTATACACGTGCCATGGTGGTTTGCTGCACCCATCAACCTGTTGTCTACATTAGGTATTTCTCCTAATGCTATCCCACCCCTAGTCCCCTATCTCCCGAAAGGTCCCAGTGTATGATGTTCTCCTTCCTGTGTCCATGTGTTCTCATTGTCAACCCTCACTTATAAGTGAGAACATGTGGCATTTGGTTTTCTGTTCTTGTGTTAGTTTACTGAGAATGACGGTTTCCAGCTTCATCCATGTCCCTGAAAAGGATGTGAACTAATTCTTTTTTATGGCTGAATAGCATTCCATGGTGTATATGTACCACATTTCCTTTATCCAGTCTATCACTGATGGGTGTTTGGGTTGGTTCCAAGTCTTTGCTATTGTGAACCATGCCGCAATAAACATACATGTGCATGTTATCACTTGCCTTCTATGTAACAGGTACTTTGCCAGATGCTGAGTTTCGTACCCAGGAGCTTATTCTTTTTCAGAGATGGTGTATTAGGCTGTTCTTGTATTACTATAAAAAAAGTACTTGAGGCTGGGTAAATACTAAAGAAAAGAGGTTTCACTGGCTTACGGTTCTGCAGACAGTACAGGAATCATGGTGCATAGTGCCTGCTTCTGGTGATGGCCTCAGGAAGCTTCCACTCATGGCAGAAGGTGAAGAGAGATCAGGTATCTCACAGGGCGAGCTCAGGAGCAAGAGAGTGAGTGGGGAAGTATCACATTGTTTTAAACAACCAGCTCTCACATGAACTCAGAGCTAGAACTCACTGGTCACCAAGGGGGTGGCACTAAGCCATTCATGAAGGACCCGGCCTGATGACCCAAACACCTCCACCAGGCTTCACCTCCAACCCTGGGGATTACACTTCAACATGAGATTTGAAGAGGACAAATATTCAAACAATGTCATATGGTAAGGCCAGCAGATTAGGAGATGACTGCCACTGAAAAGATAGTTTGTTACTTACAGTTCCCAAGAGAAGGGGACACACCACACCACACCATTCAGGGCCACAGAGGGAGGCACCAGTTGGGTCAGGAGTCAGGAGTGAGAGAAAAGCATGGGTGAAATCTTGTCTACATTTGTGGTTCTCAAGGGAAGGAACAGGTGAGGCAGGGTAAGCCACTGAGCGAGTTTAGGATTGGATAGGTTGAATGACTTGGGCAGGCTCTGGGCTACCAGGGTGGTCCCTAGTTGAATGGTATCTGGCCCTAGGATGACTTTGGGTAGGAGGATGCTATCTAGGGTTTCCGGAGCCTGACAAAAGGAGCCAATTTGGGGAATGGACTTGGCATGAGCTGGTTTGCATATCAAAGGCATCTTGCAGGGAAGTTGTTTGTTACCTGTAGGAAATAGCCAACCCTGGGAAGGGCAGTCCCTTCCGAGGTCCACAAGGCCCCAAGGTACCAAAGCATCCTAAAACATAGAAAATGAAAACATGGTTAATACATGGGGTTTCAGAAAATGATATCTGCCCTTAACGACTTCACAGACTGCAAAACAAACAAGAGTTTCATAGCATATGGCACAAGCTGTGCCAGTCACCTTGGGGGACGTCTGCCCAGCCACAGCCTTCCCATTCATAGGAAATATACCCCAGATCTAAAGGGGTGGGCTCCTCCGTGGCCAGCTTTATAGTTTATGGCCCATCCTCCTGACGGTGGCTAATTGGACCAAGATGGACACACGGTCCCAAGCTCAGCCAATCAGATTTCCTCTCTCTCTAATTTGAGGTTGCAATTCAGAGACCTGTAGACCTGTGCTGGCGGGAACTGGAGCAGGTAAACACAGGAACCAGGAGACAGTCTGACGTCACCATGTATGTTTCTATCACCTCCAACCCTGGCTTCACATTGGAGTCATGGGGAGTTTTTAAGAAATACCGAGGCCAGGGTCCCCATTCAGACCACTTCTGTAGGAATCTCTGAGGGTTAGGCCCAGGTGTCTGAGCTCCTGTCCCACACCTGACTCACTCCTTACCCCCACAAAAGTGAACTGTCCTGAGCCTGCATTCCCTCTCCAGGAGCACCACCTCTGGCTCCATCCCATCTTGCTGTGTAGAAGTGACACAGGACTCTGCTGTGATTGGTGTGGATATTCCACACACACATAGACTCATGAAGCACAGCAACGTGGAGGGGGCATGCTTTCAATTGACACATAGCATTCATGCGTTTGCTCATGGCACATATGATCTTTTGTTTCACACATAGAATGTGTAATGATCAAGTTGGGATATTTAGAATCTCCATGGCCTTCAGCACTTACCCTTTCTGTGTTGGGAACACTCCAAGTCTGCCCCTTCAGCTATTTTGAAATATACAATTCATTGTTATTAACTACAGTCACCCTACTCTGCTATTGCACATTAGAAATTATTCCTTCTACGTAACTGCACACTGGACCCTTCATTCCCTCCTCCTCTACATACACACCCTTCCCAGCCTCCGATAACTATAATTCTACTTCCTACCAGAGGGAGCATTTTCTTTTTAAAATAGGGGCCTCACTTTGTCACCCAGGCTGGAGTGCAGTGCCATCTTCTTAGCTCATTGCAGCCTCCAACTCCTGGGGCTAAGCAATGCTCCTGCCTCAGCCTCCTGAGCAGCTAGGACCTCAGACTCAAGCCACCATATCCAGCTAACTTTTAAAAAAATCTTTCTGTAGAGGCAAGGTCCCAATATGTTGCCCAGGCTGGTCTCATACTCCTGGCCTGAAAGCCATCCTCCAGCCTTGGCCTCTGTATTTGTCCGTTTTCATACTGCTGATAAAGACATACTCAAGACTGGGAAGAAAAAGAGGTTTAATTGGACTTACAGTTCCACATGGCTGGGGAGGCCTCAGAATCATGGCAGGTGAAAGTCACTTCTTACATGGTGGTGGCAAGAGAAGATGAGGAGGAAGCAAAAGTGGAAACCCCTGATAAACCCATCAGACCTCATGAGATGTATCTGCTATCATGAGAATAGCACGGGGAAGACCAGCCCCATGATTCCATTACTTCCCCCTGGGTCCTTTCCACAACATGTGGGAATTCTGGGAGATATAATTCAAGTTGAGTTTTGGTGGGGACAGAGCCAAACCATATCAACCTCCAAAGTGCTGGGATAACAAGTGTGAGCCACTGTGCATGCCCCAGCGGGAGCATGTTAAATCAATGTCTCCCACTCAATTACTAATAAAATGAATGTCCATCAAAAGAAGAGGTGCAGTGTACCCAAAAAGTCAATACATCATTTAACCAAGAAATATTTTTAGAAAGGGAGATGAATAAGAGGAAACACAAACTTCCATAGCCCTGGAGGAGCCTTTAGTCCAGCTGGAGAGGGCTTTAGATGTTGATATGTACAGATAAAAATATATATGCACATGGACAGCCTGCTCGATTAACATTAGTAAACCAAGCATGGTACACACTGGAAGAATGGCACTCCATGTGATCAGAAAGGAAAGATTCCTCTAGGCTGGGCTAGTCCAGAAAGACTTCCTGAAGGTGGGAGAATTTAACCTGGTCTTGTGAGGGAAGGTGGGTTTCAAACAGGACTGTGGGCTAGGGTAACTAGCTCTGTAGGTACTTGAAGGGCAGCCATCCTTCCTACCCAGTGCACAGAACAGGCCCCACCAGAAGGCGTTTTCAGTGACAGCCTCAGGCTCTGTCTCCCTCTTTTCCCACAGAGTGAATATCCTATCACTCAAGCAAACCAGAGAAACTCAGAGGCTTGAGCTAATAATGCTGGCCCAAGTCCAAGCATGTGTAAGGACCCAGGTGAGGTCCTCTAACCTCTCAGAGAGCAAGTGTCAGGAGACAAGGGGGAGTGACTGGGCAACTAGGGTAGACAGGAGACCTGGCCTCACCCCTGCACAGATACCACCTTTCAAAGACACTGGTGGATCAAATGCTGGAACCCGGAAACACTGACAGTCAAACTGTGTCCCTTCTTCAAAATAGCTGCTCTTGGGAGACAGAGATGGAGAAGAGCTTTGCCCTTACTACTCGCTCTTCCCAAGAGCTAAGCCTAAATACTCAGAGCCTGGACTAAGAATAAAACCCAGTCCTGGCTGGGCGTGGTGGCTCACACCTGTAGTCATAGCACTTTGGGAGACCAAGATAAGGGGTTCACTTGAGACCAGGAGTTCAAGACCAGCCTGGGCAACATAGCGAAACTCTGTCTCTGCAAAAAACAAAAATTCAAAAATTAGCCTGGCATGGCAGTGCACAACTGAAGTCTCAGCTGTTTGGGAGGCTGAGGTGGGAGGATTTCTTGAGCCCAGGAGGTCAAGGTTGCAGTGAACCATGATAGCTCCACTGCACTCCAGCCTGAGCAACAGCAAGACCCTGTCTCTAAAAAAACATAAAGTAGTCCGGACATGGTGGCTCATGCCTGTAATCCCAGCACTTTGGGAAGTCAAGGCAGGTGGATCACGAGGTCAGGAGTTCAAGACCAGCCTGGCCAACATGGTGAAATCCCCGTCTCTACTAAAAATACAAAAATTAGCCAGGCATAGTGGTGGCATCTGTAATTCCAGCTACTTGGAAGGCTGAGGCAGGAGAATCGTTTGAACCCAGGAGGTGGAGGTTATCCAGGGCCCAGATCGCACCATTGCACTCCAGCCTGGGCAATAAAGTGAGACTCCATCTCTAAATAAATAAATCCCAGTCATTCCAAAGAAAATGTCTTTCCTCTATTTCCACATTCACAAATCCTTCCCAGCTGAGAAGAAGGAGCCACCCTGTCAGCCGTCTTTTCTCTAAGTCTCTTCTTACCCTCAGCTGACCCCTTCGTCCTTCCATTCTCCCTCTGGCCATCTCCCTATCTGGACCCCTTATACCTCAGCTGCCATCAGCTCCCAAGTATTTGGCCTCCACTTCCTGAGCATCCACCTGGCACTGCTAAGCTTTCAAACCCACAGCCTTGGGTCTTAGTTTCAGGTCAGTAGTGTGCCTTTCTCCTGCCCTTTGGGGGAGCTCGGATTTCTACACATTCACTTATTTGAAAATATCCCTTCCCTTCACTCAGTTTGGGCATGAGAATAACATCTGGAGACAGATGTCTCTGAGTCATCCCAACTTGGGGCTCGGTTTCCCCCTCTGTGCAGTGGAGAGTGGACTCTGCCCTCTCTCTAAGGATGACCCTCCCCCTCAAAACACCCTGTCCTGAGTATGAGCTTTTTCTAGGATGGCTGGTTATTTGCAGCTGTAGGCTTTCAGCCACACTCACTTTGCTTCTTTCTGCTGCCGTGAAAGATTTTCCATGCCACTAGGGAGTATAAATGCTCCTCACATGCATTTTTGAAAGACCTTGGAAACCTCTGCATAAATCAGTAGAAGTTCATTTATGGTTTCAGAATATTCTGGCTAATTTATCTGCTGTCACAGATCTGGAGCCTGAGGCTTCACTTTCCAAGCTGGGCCCTGTAGGGCTCCACTGCATTTCCCTTACATGTTTGTTTTGGCTGGCCCTGAAATTCGAGCTGGCCGCATGGAGACCTTTATCATTATTCCAAAGAGATCTTCCCCTTCCCAATGACACACTCTTTGGAGGTTTGTCTCCGAGCCAGTGCTTCTTCCCCTTTTAAAAACCAACAGCAAAGATAGAGCTCTTCCTTCCAAGCCGCCAGGTCACGGCTCTCAGATTTCAGCCTTGCCCTGATGTCCTTCCTGTGAGTTTGAACTCCGCTGTGCCAGCATGGAGGCCCTCCTAATGCCCTTCTGCTGGCTTTATGCTGGCCAGAGCAGCAGTGTACAGAAACAGGGATGCACTGATGGTGATGGAATGAAAAAGTGACCTGGCAGTCTGCAGGTTGCACGTTTGAGCTTTCTGGAGCTGTCTTACCAGAAATCGCTGTAGAAACGTGGCTGACATCGTTAGCAATTAGTCCAGTGTCCAGCCACAGAGGCATTTTTACATCCTTCCGGGCTATGGTTTGAGATTTCATTGTTTGATGCTCCCTGCATTTTGTTATTTCAGTATTTCCTCTACCCTGAATCATGTGGTCAAGCCTTAAACTCCTGTCCTTTGAGGACAATCAGAATGACACCGTTAGCGTTTGTGCCTTATTTTATGGCTTCACGATCTTGTGCCCTTTAGGGTTCAAAGGTCACATCAGGCCTGCTGCCTGATGTGACCTTTGAACTCCAGAAAACAAAAGAATGGAGGACCTCAGAGACCATCCATCTAAAAAACGATCCTATAAAGAATGCATCTCAATCAGCCCAGAGCATGCAAATCACATAACATTTTTATAAAGCACCCTGCTAAATCCAAACCTACAGCCAGAAGAAGGGACACAAACCCCATGATCCCAACACATAAATCAAAGCTTCAGCAAAGCAAAGACCTGAGTTTACAGCGGGCTAAGAATGGAAGGATTTGCAAGACGTGATTTATACATTTGTTTCCTCCCCTCCTCCCGTT